GGATTAGAATTATTTGCCTCATCTTTTTTTGTTCTATTTCCTTCCTTTTTATGGGTTTATGATGCGCTTGTTTTTTTGTGCCTATACTTTCAGATGCATTGATAGTGATGGTTATGTATTAAAAATATACGTCACTTTACTTCAGTAGTCATGATTTAATTTAGCCTCAGTAGAAGCCAGAACTGTAGTAGTGATGATTTTTTAGAACGCAAAAAAAGGCAAGAAATTTTATAATGACTGAGATGAAATAGCAACTGAAAAGATCCTACTGCTTCGAAGTTTGTAGGGTTTGATAAATAGACTAAAAATTGGTTTATTTTGGCATTTTTTATATTCTAAATTGGCAGTTTTTCGAAGCTTACTGAAAGTTAGTTTAACTTTCACATTTATAAAACGAGTTTATTTTTTAAGCAGCTAATTCAGCTTGAATAAATCTGACTTTAAAAGATGGCTTATTTTGATAAACTCTTATTGAAGCAATATTTTTTAGAAAGATAGTGATTACTGATTGTTATTTGTATTATTGTTTCAACCCGGTTGATAGAGGTAAAAACTGCTGTAATCGTTATACAAATCATGAACTGTTAAGTTGTTGCTCAGTTAGCAGTTTCATTGCTGAGACGTTACTGGTAAAAAAAATGTTGTCAGTGAATGAAAATAAAATTTGTTGATGGCACTTGCAGAACAAAATACGCAAATAGATGTATTTGTGGTGTATGTTTGAGTGTGTGTATAATGAGTGATACGAAATGGCTGAGAAGCGATTGCTATTGCTTTTAAAAATTGGTCACAAAACATAAAAAACTTTTACGACATACAATTTTATTAGCTTAAAAAAAATTTTTTTTGTTGATTGTCATTGTATTAGTAATAATACAACACATTATTATTGCATTAAACAATGTTAATTATTATGCTATATAAATACAATATGTATGAACAAATATCTGTCATTTGTAGGAATTAGCGAAGATGTTAACCATTGATAAATATCATTTTCTCATTTTCTTTGGCTTTTATTTAGTGTTTACGGTTTGATTTTCATCGATGCATCTGTCAATACACAAATTTTTTACGCTCAGTTCAACTGCCGAACACTGCATGTTGTCTATGACGTCTTGATGCTAAGCTCAGCCTATTCAATCTTAATATTTTTGTTCATCTAAAAAAATGGCGAAGTACAAGAAAGGTAGAGCAAATATTTTTACACCAATTTTTCACAACTTATGCTTCACTTATTGCCTACAGTAAACTTTTTAGTGTTTTTTTTTTCAAATTTACTGTTTTTAATTACAGTTGATCAAAGGGTATCGATTTAATAGTAGATTATCAAATCAGCTGATAAATTTCTGCTTTTATAACTTATTTTTTCACTTATATTATCACTAAAATGAATTGCTTTTATAATAGTTTAATGTAATAATTTTTAAAGGAAAAGATGCTAAATATGCCGATACAGTTGATGATGAAGATGATGAAAAACATGCAGAAGTGAATTGTCTTAGCGAGACCGATATACCTGTACATCAAGTTGTTTTCGATATTTCCGATAAACCATTTTGTGCTATAAGACCGTCATTGCTTCCTGAAAAATTCGACAATCTTCAAGAAATGTAAAAAACTTTTTGCTGACAACTGTTACAAGTTTTCAATTTTTTCCAACCTAATCTTTAGCATTGTTTAAAATAAAAAGTGATTTTTAATTAGTCAACGTAATATCAGAATTACAGATATAATGAATTTGGATTCTGTAATGACGAAAATTCTACCAATGATTGTTCATCCCCAATTGAAAGCCCCTCAAACAGGTTTCTCAATTTTGAAACCTTCTTACAAACTTTCTTCTGAACTTTGACACTTAAGCACAAAAGCCAGTATACTGGTCGTTTTAATAAGATTTCTGTGTTAACTCCACTTTTTTGGTATTTGTTTGAAAAACCATTTTTCCAATTTTGAGCTCAATTATGGTTTCACTTTAGTCACATCGACGCTGATTTAACAGCTTTTATCTGTGCACTAATTATTGCTTTTCTTTAGAATGAGATGGATTGCATATATTGAATTTGCTCATGAGAATGTTGATGATGAACTTACGTGGTCAAAGGTAAATATTGAAAGGTTAAACTTTGACAAAACTTTGGAGCTTGTACACGAAATTGGCATTCCTCATTCCCTTCGACCCTTTCTATGGCCGCGTTTCTGTGGAGCTACTAAAAAGAAAGATTTAAGTTCATATGCTTATAAAGACGTTGTTAAGCAATGCGATATGAATAAACCTTCAATAACTGCTCAAATAGAAAAGGATCTGCTGAGGTATTTTATTATTGAAAGACATTTCTTTGTTTTAAATATTAATACTTGTTCAGATGATGTGCAATCGTAATCTCTCCACGTTTTCTAATTAATTATAGAACTCTTCCCACCAATTTGTGCTTTTGGCAGTCCGACAGTAAAGGGATTGATTCACTAAGGCGTGTTCTTCGGTCTGTAGCTTATATGTACCCTGACGTCGGATATTGCCAGGGAATGGGTGTTATTGTTGCCACGCTGTTGCTCTTTTGTCCAGAAGAAACAGTATTTTGGATGATGGCTACTCTTATTGAGGATGTCTTTCCAGCCAACTATTATAGTGCTAATTTGTTGGGTGTTCAGGTTTGAATTTCAGTGTTACGGCTAATAGGATTTATTTTATTTTCCTCCATGTACACCAATTACGGTGACCAGTATTCTTCATGTTTACAACACTATTATTTGTAGGCTGATCTTCGTGTAGCAATGCATCTTGTGGATATCCATCTTCCAGAAGTTGCAAAACTTTTACGAGAAAATGAAGTGGATACGTCGTTAATAACTGTTAATTGGCTTTTAACGGCATTCGCTTCAGTTTTTCCAATACGTTTACTGTTGAGGATGTGGGACTTTCTTTTTGTTTGTGGTGGAGTAGCTATTTTTCGGGTAATTTTTTCTTACAGTAGACTTTTTTTATGTAATATAAGGCTATTTTGAAATGCTTCACAGCAGAAAATTTTTTTCAAATTGTACGTCTTTTTTGAGCGTTACCGGTTTAAAAGTTAAAAATCATTTTTCACTCAGCTGCTCGAACTGTGACGAAAAAAAGCATATTCTTTAGTAATCAACTAAAATAATTCACATTTTAAGATTATGTCTTATAAGTAAATTCTAAAATTGTCATCTAGTTACTTGAACTTTTCAGATATTTATTTCTATGCTAAAGTTAAAGGAAGGTGACTTTTTAAGCGTGACATCGAAGGAGAACCTTTCTATCGATATGTTTAATATCTTAGCGTCAGTACCCGCAAATATTTATGACATAGGTAATTATTATAGCATCAAACAAGTAAAACTGATCACTGTTACCGAACAAAAGGCTACATAAAATATAACGTTTTCAAGTCTGTAAAACTTTAATTTTTTCTTTACAAGTCTTTTTGTGTTTTATGAATTTTTGGAATTGAGTTTTCATAATGGAACAGGCTTCAATTGCCTACCATAAAAATAGCAAACTAATTATCAGTGCTGTTACAGAAAGCCTAGTGGAAATGTCTACGTCATTTGAATTTTCGATAACTCCTGAACTTATCGAAAGTATGAGGAAAAAGCAACAGGCTATATTGTTAGCCGATCAAGGCTTGATTATCAATCCAAATTCAGATGTTAATCTTCCTAAACAGCGAATACAGAAGCGTCGACTTACACGATCGACAAGTATTTTGAAGCAAATATTGCCAGCAACAAAAGAAAATGTAATATTTGTACCTTTAAAAATTGCTAGTAAAAGCAGATTTGGTAACTTGTCAAGACACCTCAATAACGTTCTATAAACGAGAATAAAGACTATTCAAAACATTTATGCTTATTAGTATTTAATTTATAATCACTAAGTTGTTTATAATAGGTATGCTTGGGAAAGAAAAGAAGAAAAACAAAGTAGGCTATTTGCACTGATGACAAAACGAAATTCTTTTTAAGACTTTATTTTATTCCACTGTATCTCTTTTTTTTTCGGCCAACGCTATTTTGGTGTTGCTGTAAAAAGCATTACTCATCTGCATTTTAATGATGTAAATTCGTCTGTTTCTTCACATAAGAAGTACCTGGACGCTATAGAAGAAAAACATACAATTGTTTTACTTGAACAAGAAAGAATTGGAGAAAAAAGAGATAAGCATATGTATGGAAAAGTTTTTTTTTCTTTTTTTTTTT